AAAAAAAAAAAAAAAATGCAGAAAAGATATATCTACACAGGATGACATAAATTGATAATATTAATCAATGTCCTCTATGCACACAAGAGACAATTTGCCATCACAATTCGCATCTAAATTAAAATCTAATCCGAGCCTCACCAGCTATAACGTTGCACAAATACGCTTTCGAATGCCCGCTTCAAACGATTCTGACGCAGCACAAAGATAAGAAATATAAGAAAGTAGCAAATAGTAAGAGTCATTTACATATACATTGACAGGTAAGTTTATCATGATCTCATACCTTTCCAAACAAGAAAGGCCATCTGATTTATAGGTGAGCCAGTTACGGTTTGTATAGTATCACATAACATGTCATCCGGAGTGCTTTTTAGCACCTGAACTATCTCGTGGATGCTTTTCCCATTCTTAAATCGTATGTGGTTGTTCGGGTGACTCGTCTTGCAACCCGCATGCTTCTCAAACTCGTACGCGTTTATCGTCTAAATGAACAACAACCAAAAAAAAAATAAAAAATTAAGGGATAGTATATTATACCGGGAAAACATCTAAATATTAATGAGAACCCCCTCAAGTTTGATAAGATTGGTTTCTTTTGTAGAACTCGCTAACTAAATGTGTTAAGTTATAACAATAGAAAGTTCGATGATTTACCTTAGAATTATTACAAGATTCACACCCACATTGATAGCCGGAGTCTTTAATAATCCCGCGAAGCTTCTGGTCACATATCAAGACAACACAATGAAATAACCGATAAACAAGAAAAAGAAAAAATCAAGAACATAACGGCTAAAAAAAGGCAGTAGATAAAAAAAAAAATTACCTCCCCCGATGAAAAAGAAACATATTTCACCTCCACCCCATCAAGCATACCAGTCACTATCAAGCTCTTAACGTTATCAGGGAATCTCTTGGCCTCTTTACGCGCGACTTTTTTAGGTTCAGCTCTCGGTTTCGGCTTCTTAATTTTCTCCTTGGTAGGTTTACGACCCCGTTTCTTCAGTATACACTTCAAAGGTTTGTGAAGCGAAGGATGTTCGTATACTAAGCTATAGCTACTAACCCGCTGTTCAAGGGCATCCATTATTTCTTCGTAGCTACCAAACTTCTCGGGACCGAAATACTCATCGAAATAAGGGCGGGCCCTTTTCCCAATGGTGACACCTTCTGTTGAGGCTTTCTTGTCGGAGGTCTGTTTCGGGGGTAAAAAGGTCTTTTCAGTCGCTTTGGCATGATTTTGGCTGACGGGCATTACAGGGGTATGTCCCGTTGATGGGAGCGGTCGTTTATTTGAGTTTTTGGCGGCCCAACTTGCCTTGGCTTTAGAGATACCGTCGAGAATAAAATGGGTTTTTTGTCGGTTGACAAACGGGTCATCAGATAATATGTCTACGTTTGAAGGATATTTGTCGACCGGTGTTGAGAAATTATTTGGTTTGGGAAAGTCGGGAATGCTATTCTCGGGGCAGACTAAACAATCCATTTGTTGACACACCGCTAACTCTCGCGATTAAGTGAATCAAGCATTATGGTTTTTGGGTTTGAAGCTGGATGTTAGAGACTCCAAGTTCAAAAGTTCTTTTTCCTACAATAAAATTACATGATTTTTAAAACAGTACTACTACACGGACATATTCGTTCACCCAGAGTAAAATAGTACTACACGGAAAATCAGTGAATTGACTTAACAATATTTGATCACAAGGAACAGTCGATTAAGCATATGCATCTTGACATATAATGAAACAATGTACGGGAGCCAAATTTATGATAGCCATAGCCATACAACCTTAAGTAAACAAGGCCTTAAACTGCAAAAATGATTTTTGGTTTTCAAACCATCAAGGCCAAGAAGAAAACACACACACACGCACATGCACAAAAACAGAGCAAGATACTATTTTGAAGAAGATTAATTTACAGGGCTTATGAGGGGCCGTAGGCTAGGCAGGACAGCAGCCGAATTTTAAAAAAAAAATAATAAAAAATAACTGGGAGCAAAAGTGCAAAACAGCAAGCAAGGAATCCCAAAAAATCCACAAAAAAACCTGGGCACTTGTCGAATTTTGTGGCACAACAAATGGGAGCAAATATTTCTAACATACACAATGTTAGAATCAAAACATCCATCAACAACTCCATTCACAATCTTCATTCACAGTCAGTAAATCAATCCATAACTCGGTTTAATAAATCACCAATCACATTAATTTTCAGAATTTAGGTTAAGCCATTCAGAATTCACAATTTCATAAACCAAAATCAATTCACAAATAAGTTCAATAAAATCATAAATCGTGATTCATTTTCAGAATTCAGGTTCACTATCGTTACCGAAATAGACGCTGCCTTGCTGTTGCTGCTCGGAATCATTCACTGCCGCTGCCTCGCCTCTCGCCGCTCGGATCGAAGGTCTCGTCGCTCGCCGCTCAAATCGAAGGACTCGTCGCTCGCCGTCGCCGCTCCAAGGTCGCCGCACAGGCGGTGTGGAGAGACGAGAAGACTGAATATAAGAGTTTGACTTGGGCTTGAGTCTTGACTAGGACTTGAGTCTTACTTGGGCTTCAGAGTTTAGGTTAGGTTCTGCGCCCGTCTGTTTTGCTTCTTTCTTTTTCTTAAAAAGGATCAAATACCCGTTTGTTTTAGCAGTCGTGTTTAACTTTTAACTTTTAGCAGTCTGTTTTTAACTTTTTCTTAAAAACAATTTTTAGAAACAATGAACAAGTTATGTAAAACTGGTTCGTATAAATAATATTGAAATTGTGGACTAGTGTTTGAGTTTTATGCAACTTTTCAACCTCATTAAGATGAATAAATAAAAATATTAAAATATATATTATTTTTGAAAAAACATGTGCAAAACATCTCAAATTATCTATACTATTTTTTTTAAAGAAAAAACACCTATAATTTGATATATTATTTTTAAAAAAAAAAATCTAAAAAGACCTCTAGTATTCTAGCTTATTTTCAATCATTAAAACTCTTAGTAGATATATAAAAAACACACTACATGTATTAGTATATATATATATATAACACATCTAATATTATTATAATTTATATAGAGAATGAGATAAATATTTTCCACGATGTTAAGGTTTGATAAAAGAAAATTGTTTTAAATACTAATTTAAATAATAATCAGTTACTAAAAAGTTATAAATTAGATATATCAACGTTGAACGAATTTAATAAACTATAATTAATTCAATAAAATAGACGAGAACAAGGCAGCCCCACGTTATGGAAATAGACGCTGTCCAATGTCCGCACACGCACAGAAGAGTTAGAAACGAGAACACTGAGACAATGTTCGCACACGGAAGAGTTAGAAACGAGAACACTGAGAGAATGAAAGAAACGAGAACACTGAGAGAATGAGGGGTTAGGTTAGGTTTATGTTTGAAGTTTGGTTTAGTTTATGAAAAAATATTGAAACAAAGAAAAAAAAATCTAAACAAATGCTAGAGTCCTGTGTGTTTGGAAAGAAGTTAGGTAAAATTTAAAAACTAAAATTTATTTTTTTATTTTCGGCCGTTCTTTGGCTGATATTTAAAAATATCAGCCCATCCGGCATATTTGGCCGGGCAGAGTGGGCTTGGCCCGTTTTGTCAAACCTACATGGCATAAAATTTAGTTGAATTTTAGTTGAAATAGAGAATTTAAAAAAGTGGGTTGATTGACTATCTGTAAAGAAGACAAGTTCTATTACCTCACAGGTCTTCACTTCAGGAAATCTAGTTTTTTAGTTAAAAATTACAATAACAATAGAGATTCAATAAATAAAATTCACGAAACTGCGAAACAGAGCAAAGCAAATTAGATAACAAAGTGAAACTACATAAATAAACATCTAATTAATTAATCAGTAGGAAATATTGATAATTGGATCGGATGTATACCTCGGTAGTTTGTTTCGGCGGAGGTCAGACCTCTTCTCTGGCCTTTTTTATTAGAGATTTTGCTTGCTTACTTAAGGTTAGGGCGGACATTTGAGACTTTTAAAAATTTTGAGAATAAGAGGAATCTGTAAAATTTAAATTTGGAAATGAGATTTTAAAATCCTAATGACTTGTGATTTTAAATTTTTTTAAAATTTGAAATAAATACAAAAAAAAAATAGTTTAGATTCACCAATTTTTTTAAAATACACGGTATTTAGAGGGTAACCATACCGATTGGATTAACGGTAATATCTGCTGGTACATATCTGTATTTAAAACATAGAATGAAATAATATTCCTTTACTTTATCTTGTTAGATTTCTAGAAAATCCAATAAAAAACCAAAATTAATTAAAATTTTAAAAATTATTCAAATTATGCCAACAAATTCTCCAACATTTTATATTTTATAAAATTTTATTCATATATTTCAATTTATTTACGTTTTTCAACGCACATTCCAATTCCAGGCATTGTACAAGGAGAAATGCCACATGTATTTTTGCCAACAAAGTGGGAAAAAATAGAAATTAAATATTTAAATGTGAATCAAAACACGTGACATCACCAAAGGCGTCCGTCTGTCTGCCAGAATTTACCAATTCCGCCAACGACCTCAACATTTATTTTCCCTTTTTACCCCTCATTGATATTAATAATACTAATAATTATTCTTTCTCTATTCAAACCACATAATAAAGCTTGCAACCGTTTTATTTGTTCCCACACAGAACCAACTCCACGAAAGTACCAAATAAAAAACAAAATAAATAGGTTATTGCTACTCACCGGCCGCCGCACCCATGGCGTGCTACCCGGAGGAAGAAGTCTGGAAATGCCCAAAACACCCCTCCAAGCGGCGGCGCAACGGCATCTGCCCCGTCTGCCTCCGCGACCGCCTCGTCACCCTCTGCCCCCACTGCGCCACCGCCCGTCCCTGCGCGTGCGCCGACCGCGCGGCGCCATCCTTCTCCTTTGACGCCGATCCTTCCCTCAACCGATCGAGATCCGTCGCGATCCCCTTCCTCCGCGGCCCGTCCAAATCGCCGTCGTTCCTCTCGATCCTGCGGCGGCGGAGCACGATGAGGAGGCGCGATCCGGCGGCGGAGGGGGAAATCGAGGGTTTCGACGGCGGGAGCCGCGACGACCGCGGCAGAATCGACGATTTCGCGCGGATGATCACGAGATCGAGGTCCGTCAGCGCCGGCGCGGCGGCGTCGCGGATTCGGCCGCCGCCCGACGCCGGCTCGTCGCCGGCGAAGGGGAAATTCTGGCACTTCCCGAGCCCGATGGCGGTGTTAAGGGGCTCCAAGGCGTCGAAGATGGTCGTTAAAGATCGATCCCCGTTGCACAGAGGTTGATTGTTTTGTTCCCCCTTTTTGGCTATTAATTAATGTTTTTTTTCCTAGATATTAACTCTTCTATTTTCCTTCCTTCTGATGACTTGTATAAAATAATACAAAAAATAAGTACAGACTAATTTTATTTTTATTTTTGATTTGTGTATAAGATGTTTTTCTATGTGATTTCTTTGTGCTGGNCATATGTGTTTTTGACTTGTATTATCTTAGTTTGGAAACACTTTTCATATATACTTTTGGATGCAAAAGTCTATTTGAACAAATAATTCATAGTTAAATTAAAAATGAACTTGTGAATAAATTTGTTTTTCGAAAAGTCCATTATATGTAGAAATAATTAAATAAAGAATATAAATTTTTGGAGGTCCATTCCACAGAAGGCAAAGCACATATTTAATAGATGGACTTTTACTCCTTAACAAAACCACTACTTGTTTTTTGTGTTTGAAAATTGGGTGGTTTCATTCAAATAATATAATAATGATGAAAGTGTACAGTGGAGTCTGGCAAACTCATTTAGTATGGTGAAAGTGTAGCATGTTTGTTTATAATTTTTTTTTGTTTTGTTTGTATTTTTTTATTTGGTTTGATTAATTTTAAAAAATGTGGGATGGTTAGTTGTTAGTTGGTATATTAAAATAATATATAAAATAAAATAATTAAAATTGATTTGATGTAAAAGTATGAGAGAGAGATTTGAAGTGATGGTGAGTTAAAATAATATAAGTGGATGAATAGTGAATTAAAGTTGATGTGGTGTGTATAAATGATTGATTGATATTATTTAATTATATTGATAATTTTGATGATAGTGGGTTGAATTAAAAAAAATGATTGAGTTAAAATGTTGGAAATTTTTTAAAAAATGCTCGTGTTCTAGGCTGCATGGAAATATGAGAATCTTTGGACAAGATGAAGTCATGCATTTTAAAACTAATAATAATGAGAAATAATTAGTTGTCACGAGGTGTTGATTATTATTTATATACAGAGGCAGAAAATATAGTTACGTAACAACTACATTAGTTTTATTCTTTTCTTACTATAGTGAAGCAACATAAATAATCATCATACCCAAATATTTTCTTACTATAGTGAAGCAACATAACTATGTTTCTCATTGTTACATGTCCAAATTTGTTTAAACTATGTATATATGAGATGGAAATACATAATAAAAACTCACTAACATTTTAATTAAAGCAAACAAAAGAATCATCCATAAAAAAAAAAAAATTAATAATGATGATTCCATTAATAATATGCTGTGATTGGATTATTAAAGATATATAATGTGATTATGGGGCCTTCCCATGAGAATCATACTACTTTAATTAATCCATGGAGCCTACAGAAAACGGCTTAACAAGTAACAACTGCTGAACATACATGTGCTTTGTCTGTCCCTTGATGTTAAATTACAAACTCCAACACAAAGGCACCACAATTAGGTGATAAATCTTGTCCCAACTAGTGGATTCTCTTTTCTTAGTTCTCTATATCTATCTGCAAATTAATAATTATCGCATATATAATGATTCTGAGGATGCAAACTACTGAGAATTATAATGCCAATCAGTGTTTTCTAAACAAAATGTCTTCATTTGCCTCCTATTCCAAATTTTAAAATTTTCCAAGGAAAAAAAAAAAGGCCGAATTTCAAAATTGACCGCTTTGTTAGAGCATCTCCAATGCTATAAGTGTGAAAGACCATTATTTTTAACACATGTCAATTAGTGATTGTAATGTTAATCCACAATGGAATAATGTTAAAAGACTAAAAATTTTAATGAAACTAGTATCTCCAATGCATCAATTTGATAAAACGTTATTTGTATAGGTGGACCAATTAAATAATTCATTGATACAAAAAAAATAAAAAATTAAAATAAATATAAAGTAAATTGATGAGTCATCATGTTTAACATGGTGTTAGATATTAGAAAGTGTGCCCAACATTGTCAACATTAAATGACATCCACCTCATCATGAAAGAGTTCATGACAAGATGCATTGGAGAAAAAAATAGAGACACACTTTTAAAAGTTGATCATATGGATGATCAAAAGTTACATTACATTGGAGATGCTCTTATGTTGTCCTGCGTCAAACTTGGGACATAATTTACAATTTTTTTCAAGTTCATTCCCTTAATTTTGGCTATACAAGAAATTTCCTAATAGTTACTAATTATTTATTTAGGCAATCAGTTTAGCTATCACACATTTAGCTATCCTATATTCCTATCCTTTCATCCACAAACACCAAAGTTGCTTTAAGGCCCTTTTGTCATTTTNTTTTTTTTTTTTTTTTTTTTTATATCATTAAATGTAAATATATATATATCAAAACTGATTCGTACAACCGGTCTACGGCTTACAAAAGCGTAATGGACAACCACAAGTCAGTTCCTCATTCGCCAGATAAGGCTATACGAGGCCAACCACAAGTTGGTTGGTCATTCTAAAGTCACTAGAAACAAAATGCAATAAGTCATTCGTAAGTCTCGAATAAGGCTTCGTTGGCTACGCGTAGGAAGAAACGGAATAAGAAACCGAGTTAGTACGGATCCAAACAAGCTCAATACATAGGGTGTGGTCAAGCTGCGAAAGTCGCGACTCGCGGATTTTCCAGGGTAGTCCAACAGGAAGTCGCAACTCGCGAAATATTATCGCGGCTCACGAGAATTACAGAGAGGTACGTGCAGCTCCAGGTATGAAGTCGCGACTCGCGACCGGTGTAATTTCTAGTAATTTCTATTTAGAGAAATGCTATAGGTACATAATATTGTACATAGGGCTGTACATAACACTCGCATTGAGTGGGACCTATCAAAAATAAAAAATCAAGTGGACTTCATTCCATGTGAGTTTTATGTACACCTCTATGTACATTTATTATGTACTTATAACATTTTTCTTCTATTTAATAGTTTAAGACAATTTTACCAAATTCATACTACAAGGTAAGATATTCAATCTAACCAGAGTCAAACCCAACTGTTCAAAAGTCAACATAAGAGTGCAGAAAGGCGTAATCCCAAAGTTGAACTACAATTGTCCCTTCACACATTTTTCTTCGAAAGATGATCTTAGCTTAAGGAAGTCAACGACAGTGGCATGCCCATCGTGAAGAGGATATAAAAGTCAACAAGCAACCCAACATTCAATTTTTAACATTAAAATGCACGAAAGTGAGACTTACATTTGTTTTTAGGACAAGCAAAAAGATTTTAGTGCCTCAAACCAAAACATACAATATCAAAGATCACACAACAGTTATATCTTCAAAATCTTGTAACCAATCCAATGTTGAAAATGCCTAAAAAATGTCCAGTTATGCTATGCTCTCAATCTTGCAACGAAAAATTCATGGTGAATGAATGGGTTATAATTTTTCGACATGCGCCATGATCATATCAGGACAAGATTGAGCTTGAAGAAGCTCTAATCGATTGAAAGGTGGCGAAAACTTCAATATATAGTCTTCATCTGCAGCCAAACAAGAATAATAATGCACTGTCAAGTTCTTTTAACACGAATGTTTCTTGGGAAACTAATCGAAAAAAGATAGATAAGCAAATAAATGGAAGAATATATATAGAATACATTGAATTCGTGCCTCACTATTCGGTTTTTTGTTTTAGCTTTTTCCCATCTTATTTGATCATAAATACGACAAAAGCTCTAAATTTAATTATGTTTTCATTTTCGTGTTTTAATGTTGTGTCCTTTGTCTGTACAATTATGTTTTCTACTTCCAGCAACTCCCAAATTAAGGTTAAATGAGATATTGTTGAAGATTCTTACTCTCTTTTACAATCCCGTAAAGCCAGCACAAGACCTCATCAGCAAAAGCTAAGCACACTCCTTCCTGTATAAAACACAAAAAAAAAAAATAAGCAAAAACCTTAATAAAATCAAGAATCAGTATTTTTTGTATACAGATAATGATTTTTACCTGCCAATAATTTTTCATCTTTACTCTATGTGGTATATCTTTGGTTTCAAGTCTTTCTGTACGCACGAGTAGGCCATTGTCATCCCTGCAACAAGAAAGCGCAAATCAACAAGAAAAGTGTTTGGTTAAAATAGTAACTAATCAAAATTGCTAATTAGCTATATATATATATATATATATATATATATATATATATATATNATATCAGACAATACCTGTACCCAATAACAATATAAGGAACACCGGCAAGGAATGATTGTATCTGCAAAGGACAGTTTCAGCATATGAAAGTAAATGTATCAAAACCGATCAACGGAAAAGCATATGTCTGTGCGCATATGCAATTGTGCTTAAGAAATTAATAAGCAACTATAAAAATAACGAAAGATAGTAAAAATTGGCCCGTAACTTAAACATATCAGTGAAGTAAATTCAAGACAAAAATTCGAAAGGCAATTTAACTTACCCAGAACTTGAGCAATTTCACCCTTTCGTATCTTTTTACAGTGTGATAATTTAACTGGAATTACAAGTAAAAGAGATATCCAAGTTATGACCTATATATGTACGATAAATAGAACAGAACCCGAAAACAATCAGAAAAAATCGCAAACCTCACGACTTGTCTTTAATTCCACATAGAATCTCCTTCCCTCATCAGTCGAATCACAGCAATCCATTTCGGCACCCATGAGTATTTTGTGAGCTCCTAATTTCGTCATAATCACAGAGCAGAACTCAACATTTGTATCAACATGATGTATTCCTTCTTCATCAACCCTTTTTGGATTTTCTGTCGCAAGTGACTCAAAACAGTAGCCCCAATAACACCTATGTCGAAAAATCAATGGATAATATTGAAACACTAAAGAACAAGATATGACGGGTAAATTTTTCAGAAGAGATTATAAACGACAAACTCCCAAAATTTGACATGTTAAATGAACAGAGCTTTATTTTGTACATTCGACGATCTAATTCAGTTTGTGGCCTTTCAGGCAATTTATGCACATCGAGATACACTACTCCATTCCTTTTATGCACGCCCATTTCCCAAGGCTCGTTCCTGATATAAGCAGTGGCCAGAATCTGGAGATGAAATAGCAGTTATTATCATTAGTCCAAAACTCTCTTGATAATCATTTGGAAACTATAATAATTCCAAAAAAGATCAGCCAGCAAAAAGATCGAGCTTCAGGCAGAAGAAGCAATGATTACCTTGTTTAAGTTGTTACGGTAAGTCTGCAACAGAAAGGAAAATAAATGTCAACTGTCTCAAAAACACCTTTTCTGAAACTTCTTAAATGCATGAAAGTTAAAGATATTTTGGCTTAGTCTTACCACAAAATGCATGTTTTCAAGAGCAATATTTTTATTTCTTATTGTAGCAAGGAGGTCACCAAATCCTTGAGAGCCTAGGTCTGATGTGAACATGAAGTTGACCACATTTAGAAGAGATATGTGATTGCAAACTAGATTTGGAAGCACAAAAAGGCATGTAAAAGCAATTGGCAAATGTGCATTATTGCATACCTTTCTTTGCAATGAAAGTATCAAAACCCTCATTCAAGTCAGCACCAATATCTTCAGTNAAAAAGATTAGTCAAAAAGAGTTGGTTATCAACATGCAGTTAAACTCTGAGGAAATTAAAGGAGAAATGCAGCTCACCAAACTGCGATCGTCAAAGTAGACATCCCCACCTTCTACTCGACTGAAGCAAGCAAGTTCGTAAGGCTATTTCCAAAATGCAAAAGATTAAATTAAAAACAAAAATTAAAAAGAAGTAACAAAACTCATTAATCATCAATAATATGAATGTAAACATGCAAACATTGTAGCACAACTCTTCTATTTCACAACTCATTTGTTCTCATACATATTTCCAACTGGAATATGTTAGCTAACAATTAAAATGTTTTATAATAAAGCCAATTAAAATGTTTTTTCAAGATCATGTGACCTCATGATGCTAACATCATAACCAATTAACCAATTAGAAATCACAGTTTCAAAAGAGATTAGTGTAAGTCCAGAATTTTGTGAAAATGGCAGAGCTCAGGAAGATATACAACTGTTATTTACCTCCTGAAAATCAATGGATTTTCTGGCTAATGCTTCTTCACTTTTAGAGAATTTAAATTCAGACACAAAACGTTCATCACGAGGAGCATTATAGAACATCTGACCATAACCGTAGCTCTGCCTCTGTCCTCTACCATTCTGCCAATGGCCACGCCCAAACCCTCCTCGTGTGTGACTGTTCATATTCCGTACAGGAAGCAAAACTGTGCATACAAGATAAGAACAAAGACATGTAAAGAAACAGCTATATACACAAATTATACAAACACATGTATTGAAACAGTGATATATTCACGCATCGGACTAACAAAAATGAGAAATTGATGTGCTTTTGAAATTATGACTGCCACAAGAACTGATACTACGGTGAATTTTGAATTGAGTGGAAACATTATCTTGACAATAGACAAAATAGTACAACGAGTAATCTGCTAAAACTTGCAAAGATCATAAAAACAGAGAAAATGGTAAGCAACACAAACACATTGCACCAAAACCAAAAACATTTTTTTTTTTTTAAAAAAAAAAAACCTCAAATCAAGGTTTTAAGGTACCAAACTAGCCGATATACTGATACCTGGTAAAGGAGGGGACTAATGACGAGTGTTTTAAAGACTGTTAGTGACTACTGGTATTCAATTAAAAGTTTTAACTTGTAATAGTGACTGTTAGTATTCAACTAGAAGTTTTAAAGAATTTTTTGAAGGCTCTTAGAATTCTGAGTAATTAAAATTTGGGACTTCTAAAAGAGAAAGAGATCGAGGCTGCCGCGAACCCTAATGACTGATAACACTCGCAACCCCCTCACGGCACTCAACGATGGATCGGAGACCTTTGATCCGGGAGATGCTTCTCGGATTTCTAGCCACGACACCGAATTTGCGGCTCTGGATCGCCTCACTCAGTCAGCTAGCAAGCGCCCAAAGACTCTCAAGCGAGTTGGAGACCCATTAGACAAACCGAGCCCGTCGGTTCAACAACAGCCACCGGATTCTGCCCAGGAGCCGCCGCCACGAAAATGGACCTTTAAGGACATGGTCAATAAGCACAGACAACATGTGGAAATGGATCCCGATGATAAAGGTAAGGCTACGGAGGGTGACGAGGACGTGACCGTCGACCTCTCTCAATCAATGCCCGAAATTTCAATTGCTAAGCGGTTCTTTGATGAAATTAACAAAGACTGGAAGAATGCGGTAATCGTGAAACCTTTTGATGAGTCGCTCACTATGCCATCACTCTATAATCGACTCACCAAGATGTGGCCTTTCATGGCCGGTTGCAATATGATGGATTTAGAGAACGGCTTCTATGTAATCCACCTTCGAAATCACGTTGACACAGTACAAGTCCTCACTGGTGGGCCATATGTAGTAGGAAACAGCTATATGCATGTACAACCGTGGACTCTTGAATTTGACGCGACTGAGGAGGAACTAAAGACAACGGTGGCTTGGATTCGTCTACCCAGTATGCCCGCCCATCTGTATCATCCGAAGATCTTTCGTAAAATTGGCCAGGTTGTTGGCAAGGTGGTTAAAATCGATCAACAGACTGCAGCTCTGACCCGTGGTAGATATGCTAGACTCGTTGTGATGGTGGACCTCACGAAACCACTTCGTGTGGAATTTACCATTAACGGCAGATACCAGAGGGTGGTGTACGAGAGCTTACCCATTATTTGCTCCTAGTGTGGGAGAATTGGTCACTCGGGAAACTCTTGTCTATTCAATTCACAACCCCCTGAGCGCACTGATCCTAAAGGCACCCACTCAGATTCTTCCACCAAGACAACGCATGATGGAGACATTGACTCAGGAGCACAGGAAACGACGGGTTGCAGTGACGGTAACCAACGGTATGGCCCATGGATCCAAGTCCCTCAGCGCCAACGTAAGCCATACACCAGACGTGATATAGGGGCGGACAAGGTGCAAAGCGATAAAGCAACGTCCCCTATCATGGGACGGGGGACCCGTTTTGATCTGCTGGAACGAGAGGAGACGAGGGATTCGAATCACATGTTTGAGTTTGGGGCTTCTTACCCGGCAAAAAAAAGGAGGCAGTCTCTCTACCAAATCGAAGCTCTGGAGTGACGGACGGAAGGGATTGGCGTGTGGTGTCGGGCTGGGGAAAAAAGGCAAAACAATAATCACACCAGAAGAGCTCAACGGAGCGTAGCGAGCGATCTTGATACATCGAGTGGCCAGAAGCAGAATGCAGATAAAGGGAAGGCGGTGACCCATAATCATACGGTTGGGTCGGGCAAAATTGATGAGCTACCAAAAGGTTGTAACGGGCCCATTGCCCCAAGGCTCTCTCCGGGTCAAGCAGGGCAAGTTCGAGTTAGTGCTGGTCTGAATCCGAACAAACACCGGGCACTCGTGGTACCAGATGACAGGATCCAAGGGACCCAACAAATAAACCCTCAGCCTAATAACCTTGTGGGATCGGATGCGGATGCTCTCATGGAGGAGGACGAGCATAATATCCGCAGACAGGAACCATGGCCGGAGGACCCAAACCCAGGCGAGCAATCAGAGGGCGATCTGAACGACCGCATGTGCATGGAAGAGAGCCTGGTTACACAGGTTCATAGCCTGGATTAACGGGGAGCGGGTATTTTCCATTGTACTGTTAACATGAATAGCACCGGCAAGGGTCACTCTATATATGACGCAATATTGTAGCCATCTTCAAATTAGCACATAGAATGGTGGTGGTGTTGAAGCGCCCATCATATACAACGGAATATTGTACTCATCCCCATATTAGCACATAAAATGACGTTATTTTTGAAGCAACACATCTTATACGACTTTTCCATTTTAGTGTATTTTTGGATCCTACTGAACATTTCATTTTGAAATATTTTTTTTTAGGGTTTATCAACTTCTAATTTGTTGATTCTTCCTAGTATGTGATTTACTTTCTGATAAATTAGAGTGGTGAATAAATATTTGATGAATATCTTCAATATTGTTTTAATAGTTAAAGTGAACCAGGTGATAACAATGTCATTTTAAAGCCGTGATCCACCTTATACAAAGGGTTACAATATTGCTATTAAACTAAATGACAAAACAATACTATCGTTTTGAAACTAAGGTCCACATTGCACAATGGACCATAATCCACGATATAATGCAAGAATTTACAAGACTAATTATTCAAGAGTTACAACCAACATCTGATTTACTTGCATGGTTTCGTTGACTATTATATCCAATCATGCCATTAAACTCAAACTTAAATTACATACAGACCGTCCTACAAAGTGGCATTCCAACCAGATAAATACAATTAGCATGCAGCTGACTAGGCACTGAAAAACTGAATCCAACAGAAGAGTAAAGCTTATTAACAAATACTACAGTGGTAAGATACCCTTCACCTTGCTTTTCTTCTCTTTGTTTTGGACGGAGATGAACTTCCTGCAAAAAGTTTCACAAAGAAAAAGAAAAAAACAGCAGCAGAGATGTTAAGCGGGCTAGCCCAATGGGTCAGGTAAAAACTTTCCTGGCTCGGATTTTACGGCTTCTACCTTGAAATGATTACATTAAACAGGTAACAAAATTTTAAGTTTTCCCAGTTTGCGGCATAACACTTCCACCACGAACAAACAAAAATACCCACCAATGCACATAATCACAAGTAACATACCTTTTCCTTGCTGATCAAGGAGTATGCCTTTAATTCCAGTAAGTGTTCCGTCCTGTGTTTTTTTTTTTTAAAACCCATATTTGATATCAGTTTTCGGAAAATATGCAGATTGTAGGACCTTTGCTGAAGGTCATCAATAATCAACTATGTATTGATGTACCAATAACGTTTTGGACATGAAGATGATGCAAATTGTTATTCAATGTCCAGCAGAATGGAGTAAAGAATCAAGAGATGTTGATAATAGAATATATAATCTTGATCTATAATAATAAATAGTACCCAGTTGATTGATGCTTTCTAGTAAAATAATTCTGTAGCGAAAGGCTAATCTGCTCGACAGTCCAAGCTATTACAATCTGATTATTATAGCCTACCTTGCCCCTACTAGGAATCCTATATTGATATTAAACCCATGTGATTATTAAAGGTAATAATAAAGGAGGCAAGCAAGTAATATATTAGAAAGGCATTCAATCCAGATCCTAAAATCTCTTGTTTCTATAGTTGCTTAATTGTTTAGACCCTTGCCCACTGCACTAATAATCATTTTGATCAATCCACATTGAAGAGGTAAATGAGCAAACTTGTAATCATACAATATAAGTTGAGACTAACCGGATCATAAACCGCTCTTTGGTTACGCCAAAATTCCAAGCTAGGCATCCGCAATCTCCCTGGAAATATTTCAGTGAAGAAAAATGTAACTATAAAATTTATCAAGTTTCCTTATGTTGATTGACGGATAGAGTGATAAATACTAAATTGAGAATTTATACAGACTCACTGCATAGATGTATAATGATGTGAGATTCAAGAAATACACTAACCTGATTTAGATCGGCTAAAACTCATACCCTGAGGTGAAATACATACTTTATCTTTTTCCCCTTTTGGAGTTACCTAAACAACGGATAAAAAGACAGAAAAAAATGAAGGATTACCAAAGAGTAACTCTATATGTAGAAATCCTCCGAAATTAACATAATTGATTGTAAATCCTAGACACAAGGGGTCGACAGAGTAGTGTAATGATCAAAATTTGGAACACAAAGCCTCCACATTTTGCAATGGAATCAACCCTTGAATAGAGTATGTATGTATATGTCCTGCGTAAGGATACAATATCTGAAGGCTGTCAAGGGTACTAGATATAGTTTTCACTGTGGCATTTTCGTGCTTTTACTTGAATCCTACGGTACCTTTCTTTCTATTCTAGTAACAGCTTTAGTTTTATTACGAAGTTGCAATCCCAAGCATAGAAAACTACAGGTAATTTGTACAAATCATGACACATTATCCTGTCACCATAAGAATGTTTGCAAGAAAGAAAGAACTGAAAAGCTTACTAACATTTTCTAATTTTCTTCTGGTCTTCTTGTCCAATGATTTTGCACTATCTGGTAAAGTATGTACATCAGGAACTACATTATCCTCTTGATTATCTGCAGCAGAAAGCATATTTGTTGTACTAGACCCTACCCTTTTCGCCTTATTGATGTTTCCTTTAGTTTTAACCTGTTTAATGTCATTATCCCTTTTACGACTCCTCGAAATTTTCAACTCCTCATCCTTAACACAGCCAACATCAGTCTTGCTCGATTCTATTTCATCTTTATCCCCAATAAATTCGAAAACCTCAAAGTTCTCACTGCCTCTTCCTTCTTCAGGTTCACAATCAACAGATGTTGATGCTTTAGGGCCCACAGATGATCCTTTGCTTTCTTCTTGTGTTATTCTCAACCTCGTCATCGAACGTGTTCTCGCTCTACCCACGGTATGGGATAAACTCTCTCGAGATGTGTTGTTCACGCCCTTATCCAATTTGGCCTTCCTGCAATTGCCTTTGTCCAACTCCATCTCCTTCATGTCATCAGTTGGCTTATTACGTAATTGACATGGTAAAATGATTCCTCCCCTAGCATCACCTCTAGTACCATCTAGACCCTTATCAGTAAAAGCTGAGATACCAATGTTTGCCTCAATGCTCGATTTTGACAATAACTCCATTTCAGTGTTCCCACAGTCCACATGCCCGTCGAGAATGGTTTGATCTTCAACATTACGGGTTCTAGGATAAGATTCCTTCTCAAACCTTTCAGGTGAAACAGCTGAAGATTCATTATCATTGCCTTTTTGTTTTCCTGGGACATCGATCTCTTGTTGTAAGTATTGTGACCCCAAATCCTTTTCACAGTTGTCTACAGATGGGTGTTGATTTTCAGCTGCAGAAAAATCGGGGAAATCAGAAAAAAAGAGCAGGAGCACAAGATTGCATGAAAAAATCCCTATTTAATTTTCAGCAATTAGATTTCACCCAGATGGCATAAAACGATAAAACGAAATTTCAGATTTAGGTGGTAAGACTCTTCATGACGTTAAATCCTAAGACCTTACAAGAAGATTCTTTACCCATGATATTTTCCTCGAGCTCCTTCCAGTGTGGCGGGAAGCCATAAACAAAATGGTTGCATACCTGTTGCAGAAATGAATGTGAGAGAATAACGGCTTCTCAGACAAATTCGATTGAAAGAAACAACTAGTTAAAAGGAAAGCCATTCAGGACAGGGATGTCTTAGAAGCTTGGAAATGTGCTACAGCACAGCATGGCAGCATAGAATAAGTAAATATTTATGATTATCAGGAAATGGGTATCAACAAACTGTTCATTTCCAATGTTTAACACCTAACAGAATCATTAACAACGCATTTATCTTTGCAACAACGGATACTTCTTTATTACTTTCTATCTCACATAAAACAGATCCTACTTTAATCATGCAAAACATTTTTCACACAAGGTGAATGTTGATGTAGCCGAATATCTGCTTATATTTTATAGAACCATCCTTGACATCTTCAAGCATCTATATTGATGAACATCTGAAGGCAGTTATCATAGTTGAATATTGGGTTAATTTACTATTTCAATGAAACTGCTAATATATAACACCAAACAAACTTTTAGACAAGCATCTGAAGCTTAAGATCTAATAGCATGCATTAGATCTGAAACAAGGGTCAAGAATATTGGTGTTTAATTCCAATCAAGGTGTATGAAGTTATGACCTAATAAAATCTTTTATCTCATAATTATGGTGCATAGTTTCGGACAAATATCCTCATCATAAAATGACGAGGAAGGTTTCAATCAGATCATCCTACCATACTAAGTCCAATAAACAACAATCCCATCATTTGAAAAGCTTTAAAACGCAAACACACTCAACAAGCATTCAAAAATTAGAATCAAAGGCAGCAAAGGAAAAAAGATAAAATAGCTATGGTGTCATGTGGTGACATAATGACTCCTTAGTCCTTGTATTTGGAAGAACATATCCATTTGGAAAGCATGGTAATATGGATATCTGGTACACACCACTATGGATGGGTTCTCTAATAGTATTGTACTAGACCTTGGACTTGTAGTCCATAACTTATATTCATTACTTTATATACCAATAGTAGGCTGTATTTCTCAAACTGAAGTGTTTAGATCCAAAGCACCTTGTAACTATTATAGGCATATTATTTGAGATTTAATTTTGCTAAGCCTTTTCATGTTTACATTTAAGTCAGTCGTTCTAAGTCAGGTTCAATAGTTACTTTAAAATCCTGAATCCATGTTGTAATATTAATACCAAAAGATCTGAAAATTTTGGCAAACTCTGAAACTCATTGAAGATTTTCAAGGATATTCTAGAAATTTGAAGGAGAAAGGCAAGATCCAACAGCATGTTTGATGTGAGGAAATCTGACGTTCCACCCCATCCATATATCATGAAACATTGGAACTGGATCTTAATCTGAAATTAAAATTCTTGAAATTTTACCCACCAAAGCCCATATGAAAATCAAGGTCAGCTGGAATCAGTCATGCTTACAAGGTGCAATCTCCAGAGAAAATTTACTTTTATAGTCCACTCGCAAGGACATTCAGAAAACAATATCATTTATGAAATGCAAACTGGACAAAATTTTTCCAAAAACGAGTATAGTCAAGCTAGTAGAAGAAAGAGAGTGATAGCTTCCGTATATAGCAAAAAAAGAAACAGGGTCAATCACATTACTTATACGTGAACCATGCCACTTAAAAGATGTGAGGAGCTAGGTTGTTAACTTACGTCAGCCGGAAATCCATTTTCTTCTGTGAGATTTTTGTTTATGAATCCTTTGAACATGACGCATATCCCATCTGCAGTCTCAACAGTGAAAACATCATATCTCTTCATGATTGGGGCAGATGAAAAGACTCTCATGGCGTCATTCCTGTTAGCAAAAAAGTAAATGGAATCCTTTTTTGCTACAAATTCGAAAAAACAAACCAAGATAATTATTAAACTGAAGCTAACAGAAAAATCTGTCACGGAATCAAAGACTCGGAGATAGACTCTTGACAGTAAAAGTGACATTTGACAAACTGAACGGGATAATTGTATAATTCTAAGAGCCACATAATGTTCACAGCCTGTTATTCTGGTTTGATGACGATCCAATAACGGTTCCGAACATCACAACAAGGATATCGGGAAAAGCAATCTAACCAAAAAAAACTAATGGAAGTGCCCATCAATGTTAAGCAGAAATCATTTCGGAAAATTAAAAATAACACACATGACGAGAAATTGCCTGTCCCTAGTTTTTTCAGATGATAGGGAAATAAGCTTGTGGATTATCAAGTTACCTATCATATTTTTCTTTTCAAACTCGATTCGGTTGTTTTGTTGATTTGTTAGTATCACTGATAGAATGATCAAAGCTTTCAGAACTGCATTCACTCAACTGAGCCAAGAAATGTAGAACTCAAGTTTTTTCCCACTGAAACACCAAATTAATCTCCACTTTTTTCTTTGTTCTAATAAGAAAAATCTTATTCGCGGCATAATTAATGCATAAGCCCAAAGAATAAAACTTGCTAAAAAAACAAGCGAACTTACCCTCGGCTGGTGTAGCCGGAGACTGCAAGTCGTCTCCCTTGGCAGTCGTTCTCGGCCTTAACCAACCACCAATCGGCCAAACAAACCTTCGATTGAGGGCAAAAAAGAGTAAAAGTAAAATTAAAACAACTACTTACAGAATACGAAATTCAAGCCGAAAAATCTCACCGTTCGCTTAAAGTGGGATTTTGGGGTGCTCGCCGTCGTGGGAGTATCTAGAAATGGAGGAGATGCCATGGGTTAGTTCATTTGTTTCTAAGCTCTGCTGAGAATGAAGATGGCTGAGACGGCAGCGCGGGAAACCAAGGGTTGGCGAACAAGAAAACGGCGGTAATTTGTGCGAAACAAACCGGACAAAACCCTGGTAAGTTCGATCCGCCAACGGTGAGGGCACTAAAATGCGACGCCTCTCAATCTTTATGTATTAATTTTGTATTTTATTTTTCTGCAAAAATCGAACTAAAGCAAACCGTACAATTCAAAATTTTATCTAATCAATATAATTAAATAATATTAATCAATTTTTTTAACACATTATATCATTTTATTTCAATATTTATTCACTCATTAATTTTAACTAATTATCATTTCATATCATCTCTATCCTACATTTACATCAAATCAATTTAAATTATTTTAATATAAACTCAAAATCCCACTAAGAACTAACCATACATTTTTTTTTAAATTTTTAACTAACAATTAGTAATATCTTTTTTTTTAAATCAACTATGTTTAACCAAAAAAAATCCGTTATATATTTGTATTCCCCCTGAATTTTTGGTAGCTTCGTTTCTTCCAACTAAACTCGATCAAGTTTTTTGGGTTCCGCTCATACTTCATTTGTTTTTTTCAAGATTCACGTTCAATTTTTTCACTCTCCTCATTATATACTTGAAATTTCTGACCATTTATTATTTTTTAATATTATTTGTAGCTTCTCCTCAGTCCTCCCTAACAAATTGGACATTTGAAAACATAATATAAATGCCCATTTAATTGTTCAAAGGGAACTTTTGTTATCAAAAAAATTGTTGGATTTTACTTTTCGACTTGCTCCTTGCCACCTAAATTAGTCGATTTTTTCATTCATTTTTCTTCATTTTTTCATTTCATTTTTCTTCTTTCCTATACTGGCACTATCAGTCATACCTATGATATGTGATATAAGGTGGCTTTATTAATTATATTTATGCGGTGTGATTAACAATGCGATTGCATATTTTAGTCGAAACTTTTTTCTCAATTATAAATTATCAGGCCAATATAATTACTATCAAATTGAATTATACTTCGATCCTAATTCAAATTTAATAACAATAAATCATATTAACGTTTTCTACGCATATCCCTTGTATGCATAAAAAAAACCTTTCTTATGCTATTACTAAACCTAATATATAGTGATCAAACAAGCAAGTAAACTAACCAACAATGAAATAAACAAAACAAACTGAATATTACATGAACAATGAAAAAAAGGTCAATGATGAACAATTACATATATAAAAGATAAATTTACAGAAAAAGAGTTGAGGCATGAGATGCACAAAATCCCTTCTCCCACAACTAAATATAATCAACCCTAAACATTATAACAAAGTTGTTGATTTATAATTGTTTATATCATCTTATTTAGAAGAATCTGTAGAAAACAATATGTTCATAAGGAAACCCACTGTGATTCCGATGAGTCCCACAAGAAGTGTGAATTTGATGGAGAACCCAGCAATCGTTTTATGGCTCTGCCTCTTAAGAACTTCCTATTTGTGTTAAAAAAAAAATGAAAGTAAAAGTTAGTATAATCATGAATAACAAAATAATTATTTCTTGTTAGTAATGAGGCCTAATTAGTCAATTATATGTATTTTAACAAATAAGCATAATTCCTTATACATGTGACCNTTAAAAAAAAAAAAAACATAAAAATGTATGTATATTTTTTTTGAAAAATATGACAGACAGACACGTCTAACAATTAGACTGTCTCACACAAAAATGTGTGAAAAAGAGAACTTGTTGGATGATTATTTCACATAATGTTAATTGGTGTACTTGTGTGAGTCGAACCAAGTCGAATATTGACCTTATCAAACCAGGCTCAATTTGTTTGACATTTGCTCGAGCTCGACGAACCCGCCTTGCTCGAGACTCTGCTCGATTTGACAAAAAAGTACAAACGCTCTGAGTTAGGGGTGTTTAGGTATTTTCACGTAGATTCAAACGGTTCGTGGAGCGCTCAAGCGTACAAACTACAAGCTTGGTGTCGAGTTCAAATACGAAATGTTCGAGATTGACTCGAGCTTCAGTCAAGTATTGACTCGAGTGCTCGCGGGATTGCGACCCCAATTATCATTTTCATATAAAATTTTATTATGATTATCAAATTTTATTTTTTTATTTTTTTAACTTATTAATGCAGTTAAATAAGAAAGGGAACTCAAAAGAGGAGATAAACTAATTAACCAGGTCACGTTGTAGCCTTTGTGTTTGCGTTACAGCAGCATCTCTTTCGTCCTTCAGGTGTTGCAAGTCCTATGAAATTATTGTGAAGAATAAGAAAAATGCAAAATTAAATATTCCTAAAGTTGGACTTCCATAAATTTTTCCATTCTCTAAATAATGCAAAAATTGTGCAATAACATCCATAATAAGATGGTGATAAATATTTGGTTAAAAAATAATATTTCTAAACAAAAGTAGAGGAATAAATATTATCAAAACATCAAAAAACTAATGCTTATATTAGATTCTTAAAGACTTTTAGGATTTTAAAAATATCAGTGTATTTAATTAATTTAGACATTTTTTAAACTTTAAAAGTCTTTAATATGTTTAAAATTTGAGGTATTTAACTTATTTGAGACTGTGATTGATTAAGACTTTTTAAGATTTGTTGCAATTGCAAAAGAAAAAACCACATACAAAATCTCAATATAAATTTCACTTCCATATGTAAAATTTTATTAAATTCCTCATAAATCTAAAAATTTTAAAGTCGCCATACAAATTCAAAATGCCACTTAAAGATACCTCAGATTTTGTAAAAACTTAGGGGCTGATTGTTTATGAAATAATTTGTTCAAAATGAATTATTTTGGTTAGCCATAGTTAATTTTGAAAAAGGTGGTATGGTTAGTTGTTAATGGAATTTTAATAATGTATTATAATAATATTTAAAATAAACTGATTAAAATTGATTTGATGTAAAAGTAGGAGATAATTGATTGGAAATGATTGGTAGTTAAAATTATGTGAGTGATGAATAGTGAATTGAAATTGATGCGATGTGTAAGAATGATTGGTTTGTATTATTTAATTATATTAATAATATTAAAAATAATGAAATTGAGTTAAAATTAAGTTAGATTTTGAGTATAAAATAAATGAAATAAAATAATTCATAAACAATCAAGCCCTTAAGATTTTACAACATGTACATGGTTACCACCTTAAGAGACCTATTTTTCTTTGCATCTTGGTTCAAATATCAAAGTCACACCAGAACGTCATTGAAAAAATTTTAGAACACAAAGACGGACCAATATCATACACTTTGAACAAAAATAGATATTTGTATTTATACCAACATATGTCATAATCTTTTTACATATATATGTTTTTTAAATTTTGATATTTCAATATGGAAAATGTGATCGAATACTTGTTGAAAAAATATGATTAGCCAACGATTACGATTACATAGCAACATTCATCCATTTCAAATACTATATGAATGCAGGATATAAATAAAAAGTTAGATATAAAAAGTAGAAGAGAAAATCTCTAACCATGTCAAGATTTTGGTTAAAACCATCTCCAATATTGGCATAGGCTGAATGAGGATTAATCATGTACACCACTCTTAGCTTGTACTCTTCCAATGCGTTACCACCTTCCTTGTTGAACTGCACACAAATTAATACCAAATATTTGAAACACAAAAACCCTAAATTCCAATTACTCGAATAAGACGAACAAATTTAAAATCTTCATCATCGATATACTAATAATAATCTTCTTACAGTGTCTTGTGGAAGCTCGTCCGTGTTAGTACCTGGAGGTACAACCGTGCTTTGCAGGAGAAATTTGTCTTTGCATTGCATGTTAGGAGGGTATTCTCTTTGAGCTTGTAAGGTAACTATGTTCAACACAAACACATGCATTTGATAATCTATTTTCACAGAAATTATAGAAACAAATTAACTTATCTAAGAATTTCATTAATTTGGCCTTTGATGATATTAGATGAAATTAATTTATATATAGCCTCTATATAATCACCTCTTATTACACAAGAATCCAATGGATGCATGACGCCCGTATTTGGTCGAACGAAATACTTCTTTGGCGAGGTAGTTTTTACCTACATTACGATACAAAGCAAATTAATATGAATTAATTTGTCAATCACAAAGCGCGGTTTTTCTTTTAAATCGATCGTGTAATCCTTAAATAGATTGTGTACTTGCATTCGTACCTTGAAAGCAACGTGATGCTCTGAGTCATTCGTAACTTTAATATCACAATAGCTCGGTTTCTCCAGCTCGACTAACACAAGAAATAACAAACAAGGATAACATTTACTTATAACTCTCTTACATTATTCATAAGAAAATGTTGGACAAAATTAGTATTCAATGCAAAATCTGAACGATGCATGCACGCGGGTACACACACAAACACACAGTTATATATACAAATAATGGAAGAAAGCATATATATATATATATATATGTATATACATTGGAACTTGAGGTCCTGAGGGTGTACAGAAATCAATGGGGAAGGTACAATGGTCATGGTAATTTCCAGTCCAATTTCAGCTATATATGAATCAAAATCCCTTGCCTATATACCTATCAACAACTACAGAAAAAATATATATGTAACTCTCACAAGAATCAAATTGAGATAATTAAAATGATTATGATGATGATGTGATGACAGAGAGAGAGAGAGAGAGAGAGAGATTCACACGGTGAAATAACATTTTTTGAAAAATAAAAAAGATGAAACAAGATGAAGTAATTGTTTTTCTATTTCTTTTCCATGCTTGCTATTTCTCTGTATATGATCCCCATTTTCCGTTAGGAAAACTATTCTTAAGCTAAGTAATTGCTATATAAAATCAAAAAAGTTATATAAATCTATTATTATTATTTGCATGGTAGTTTGAATCTATATATAGATTGATGATCCAAAAGAAGTGGAAATCAAAATAGCTTGTCATATCTATTACTTACATATTTTCAGTTAGTAGAAGTTGTTTGACTCTGGTGTATAAAAACTAGTATGTACCCGTGCGATGTACGGTGGGCGTATAACTTAAAACATATTGAAGTACTTATATTAAATGAAATTAATTGAATTGAACATATAATTATGGAAACAAAAATAAAAATAAAAATAAAAAAGAAATCATATATTATTAAAAACTTCTCTGTACACAGCATTATTTGTTTGATTTGGGAGCAATTCATGTTCACCACATATTAGAATTTTCAAACCCTTTCTGTTGGTGACGCGTGAAACAGTAACATATAACTGGCCATGACTGAAAACTGGTTTCTTCAATAATAAACCAACGTGGGATAAGGATTGACCCTGGCTCTTTTTAATAGTCATTGCATAAGAGACCACGATAGAGAACTGCCTTCGTTGAAACTTAAAAGGTACTCTTGCATCCGAAGTTATCGTCATTCGAGGTATCAACATTTTATCCCAGCATGGTCGCCCATAAGTATCCAACATTCTAGGATATATGATTGGAGAGTCTTGTTACAACCAAACGTGTCTCGTTGCACAATCCCATAGAATGATCCATGTTCCGCAACAGTATAACAGGAGTTCCCACCTTCAAAGGCAACTCATGATTTGGTGTACCAGAACATTTGAGAGAATTTAAGAACTCAGGAGTGTGGATTTCTGACAAGAAGTCAGAATTCAAATCGGATTTACAGGTACTGTCGGAGCTCAAATATACACGACCTTCTGTTAGATTCAACGACGACATGTATTGGTTGATAGACTCAACGATCTCCAACATAGTGAGCATCCCGTGCGATGCACGGACGGACTTGTTTCTTGAAATATTTTTTTAAGAAAAATTATATTTAAATGTAATTATTTATATTTAAACAACTCATTATTTTAAATATAATTACTTATATTTAACATATCTCATTATTGATTTTTATAATAAGCATTTTCCATAATTAATTATCATTCAAATAAAACAAATAATTAATTACCATTCAAATAAAACAATTAATTAATTAACATAATTGTTTCCTATAAAAAATAAGCAATGCATATTAGACAATTAATGTGCACATCCCATCCAGGAACTAACTTTCGTATCAATCGAGAACTTCTCACACGTCACATCTCCTGGCCTATCATTCCTAAGTGCCACCCTTCGAGCTAAATATTCTCGTCCGATCTGCTATAGCCCAACAGCTCAGACCGACCACCAGAAGCCCGTGCAACCAGCCCGAGTCCAGCCAAAAATTATTGTATTCTGTTGGTATTTTCACAAGTGCGCAATTCACATCCAACAAAATTTCGCTCAACAATTCACACACGTCTCATTCTTCATACGCAAAATCCAACCAAGAAAAAATGAACCGTCGTTCGAAAATTATCGCCAGCGCTCAAAATATTCGATTGTCTTCACCAGCAAAGAGTGCGACCATTCGTCGCCTTCAACATCCACTCTAGTCCGACCAGCATTGCACGCAAAACAATCGAGATATCTCACTCGTTCAGCCCGTCGTCTTGCCATGTTTGTTACCAACCGCCCGTCAGCAGCATCATTGAAACGTCCAAGCATCAACAACCTTCGTCCAGCAGTCAGGAACAACCAGCACCAACACCAACGACCTCATATCTTTAAGCTTTGTTGACCCTTCAGTATGGTCATCCTTCGGCCGTCGATTTCGAGCCAAAACTCGACCAATCAGACCATCATCATCCGCTTGAGACTTCGTACAATTGTCCATACTTCACGATGCACGACCAAAAACACACAACCTTCAGCCATAACTTTCAGCCATCAACGTCCGACGCCGCATCAATTTTGCCCCGACTTTCCGATGCACGACCAAAAATTGCCAGCCTTTAGCCGTCAACGTCCGACGCTGCATCTGTCCGATAACGCCGCATCTGTCCGATAATGTATGCCCGCTGACCTCTATCAGCCCTAGCCGTAACCCGGCCCCTCGTACAAGCCATGGACGCAACCTAGCCGGCTGCGGACTACGGGTAGCCGACGATGAATATATATATTGAGTTTGAAGGGAGACAATGATAAAGGGAATAATGTGGAATAATGTTGAATTATTTCCAAAAGATAATGAAGAGTTTGTTACCAATAAAAATTCTATGGAGCCATCCGATGGCTCTATAGCAAAACTGTTGTTACCAATATAATTATATGTAAGTTAAGATAAGATGTAATGTATCCAAAAAAATCTGCATGTGATTGCTTTCTTTGAATGTTTAATTTAATTTTTTTTTTCACAATATTTAGTCTGCTATTAAATTATAGTAGATTTATAAAAATAAATAGGAATAAGTATTGTTTGAAACGATAATTACGGATCAATTTATGAAATTGGGATATGTGATAGTTTTGCAGTTATCTTGCTAAAGAATGGATTGTGTAGAGATTTAAATAGCGTGTCATTGTATTTTTTTGATATCTAATCATTTTTATTAACTTGTCTCCAGCATAAAAATTATGAAAATATTCAAATGCATATGTGATTTTGTAAGAAAATGTCTATTTTTTTAAATTAATGACCGCATTAAAAATAAATTATAAAAATATTCAAACGCATATGTGATTTTGTGAGGAAAGATCTATTTATTAATTTAATGACTACATTAAAAATAAATTTAAAGGAGCAAAATAATATAACTAATAATATTTGAACAAAATCAATTATCTTGAACTCTCTATATATACAAATATATGTAAAAAACATTAATTATCTCAAATGTAACCACTGAACGATTTTTTAGGTATTTATAATGTTATGATTGTTGTCTAATAACTAATAATATTTGAAAATATATAAAAATATGCTAACTACTTTTAATTTTCACGAATTTAGTGGGTAATAAATTCTTAAATATAGCTAGAATCTAATGTAAATTTTATCTATACAAAATATTAATGGCCCCAAATCAAGAAGATTTGTTTGCACTTATTGATACTCAATTGATTTATATTATAAATTAATAAATATTGTCAATTTTGTCACATATCATCTTTTTCATTTCAAAAGGAAATTATTCTTCCAAAAATGGTGTTAGGAATATCTGCTGTCAAACTCAAAAGATTATTAGATTACTTATACATAAATATAGGAAAAAAAATATTTTGAAAGGATACCAATTAAACTAATGGACTTGTAGGGATTTAAATCAAAAGGATAAAGGAAAAAATATTTTGAAAGGATACCAATTAAACTAATGGACTTGTAGGGATTTAAATCAAAAGGATAAAGGAAAACATGTGTTACAAAGAGTAAAAATTGGTTAGATAAATATTGACTCGTTCAATTTTTTTAAAATTCGAAAAAAAGTGTTTAAGGCAGGATAAACGTGAATCAAATAAAAATATTTTAGATAAATGTTGACTCATTCAATTTGGGAAGAAATCTCATCCAAAATGAAAGGAATACCATTCAAAAACAGTTTCCAAAAAAATTCAAAGTTTCGAAAAACAGATTTAAGCGGAATTCGAAAAAATTTCAAACACAATATTAGGGGGAAAAACAGGTTTTAAGCGGGAAAACGAAATGATTTTTTTCGAATTGTTCAAATAATTTTTCTTCTCCGTATTATATAGTAATAGATGCCATATTATATATATTATATCTATACTTATATAATAAGGTGTAACATTTACGAAATTTAATAAGTTGAAAAGTCAATGCAATAAATGCATTACTATTTTGAGCAACATAATATAATATCATATCTATACTTATATAAAAGGAGATTCTATTTACTACATTTACTATCCAGAAAAGTCAATTACATTAAATGTCATTATTATTTTGGTATTATAATATTTTATTTATTTAATTAATTTATTTATTTGTTTTATTTTAAAAAGATAAGTATAATAAAAAGATTTTAATAATAAAAAAATCAAATACCAAATAAAAATGTACACTTTGACTTATTCGATTATATTTGGTATTTGATTATACCAAATATATTCCTATTTAGTATATACATTAAATACTTACTAAAGTATTTATTTGTTTTATTTGTCAAAGTTAAGTATAGATTTGTTTATATTATCAAATCATAAAAAAATATTAAATCCATATTGTAAAAAAAAAATCATATAATTTTATAACAATTCTACTATACTATTTAACAATATTTTTTTATTATATAATAAAATAATAATTAAATATTATATGGTGAACAACAATAAGTAAAACTGTTACTTTCTCTTATATCAAGAGATAAATTTATATGCTAAAATTAAATTTTTATTAGTATAAATGTTTTAGTGAGATAATATATTAATTATTTTACAAGCTATCCCTAACATGCTCATATTTAATGTTTTAAAAGATGTAGAAAAAAAACTTATAATAACTCTATTGTTTTTTAGACTTAAACGTTGATTAAAAGAGGTAAAAATTCCTAATTTTTTAGACTTAAACGTTGATTAACACCATAGATTGAGAGTTTATATTTAGTAAAAACACTCTGGCAACTCACTCTCGCCCTCCAAATAGCTCACGACCTGCCTCATCCCGGGCCTTGCCGTCTGCTCGTGGGCCGAACACATCAAGCCCAACTTCAACACCATCAAAACCTCATCCCGATCAAACCCACCACCTTTCATCCTCGGGTCCACCACACTCATAACCCTCCCTTCCTTCCACTCGCTCCACACATGTTCGGCCAATACGAAATCCTCGGGCCCGGATTTACGCTCAATGGGCCTACGCCCACATACAACCTCGAGCAAAAGCTCCCCAAACACGAAAACATCTGAGCCCGTCGTGGCCCGGCCCGTCCTTGTTAGCTCGGGCGCGAGGTAACCTAAAGTCCCCACGACCCGAGTCGTCCCAGGGTTTGACCCGTGATCGTAAAGTTTCGCAAGCCCGAAATCCCCTAATCGAGCATTCATCTCGCTATCCAACAACACGTTACTAGCCTTCACGTCCCGGTGTATCACGACTTGTTCGTAGCCTTCGTGAAGGTATAGTAGGCCCGAAGCAACCACTTTCACGATCCTGAACCTCTGTTCCCAGCTCAAGGCCCGTTCGGTATTGGGCTCGGGCCCAATTTCGAATAAGAATCGGTCCAGGCTTCCGTTAGGCATGAAATCGTAAACGAGGAGGAGGTCTGCCCCACGCCTGCACCAGCCCATCAGCTGAACCAGATTCCGGTGACGGAGCCGGCCGATGCTGGAGATTTCCGAGAGGAATTCGCGAACGCCTTGTTTCGAGTCGTGTGAGATTCGCTTGACGGCGATTTGGGTCTTTGAGTTGGGTAAGGTGCCTTTGTAGACCCGACCAAAGCCGCCGGAGCCGAGGAGTTCGCTGTCTTTGAAGCTTCTGGTGGCTTTTTTGAGCTCTTGGTATTTGTACCGATGAGGGACGATTTCGAGCTCCCAATTTTCAATTATCTCTGCGTTTCTGATTTTCTGATTAGGAAAAGGGAAATTGAAATTAGGGTTAGTAAGGAGAGCAAAGCAGAGACAGTGAGGCCTATTGTGAGGCCTGTGTGTTTGAATAAAATTTTTATTTTAACAATAACTTTTATCATATATTTTTTAACTCAACACTCGTGTAGTATACGGGTATTTACACTTTAAATTATGAAAAATTAAACTAATGACGGGAATTAGTGTTAATGTAATGAGCACAAGCTAGAAATTATGAAATTATTCTATCTAATAAACCCATCTAGTTTATCCAAGCTTCCATTATAATTACATTTTATTAATGGTTGGG